CCACCCCAGGCCAAACTTGGTGACTCTCACCGGGGGGGACGTCCCGCAGGCAATGGTGCTTGCGGCGGCCACACGCACACACACACACACACACACACACACACACACGCACACGCACGCAGAGGCCCCCCAGGCCGGAAGCGTCTCCGCCACGGCCACCACCGAAGCCATGATTTGTTGTGGCGATGTGTGCGCGGGGGGGGGGGAGGGCGGGGGGCGCGGCCAAAGAGAGGAAAGAAGCCGGGCCCGGCGCTCGGCAACATTCGTTGGCAGATGGTCCTCATTTCGTCGGCTCCCTCCCCCGGGGGGAGGGCGGGGTAGACGCGGGGCTCAATTAATGCCCCCCGGCCGGGCTTCTGTCCGGGGTGCGGGCGCGGGCGCGCGCCCGCGCACGTCCCGATCACTCCCTGCGGCCGGTTGCTAGTCGCTGTCCAAGTGCCCAAACCCGCGGGTCGGGGAGCGCGCGGGCAGGGGCGCCAGCGCACTGGCCCGCCAGCCCCCGGGATCGGGGAGATTCCTGTGGCGAACTCTCCGGCCCCGGGCCGCTCGGTCCTCCCGAGCGGGGACCCGCCGTCCCAGCTGCGACGGTGGTGGCATGCACCGACCGCGCCCGATGCACATGCGTCCGCACCCGACCGCACCCCGTCCCAGGCCCGAGGGGGCCGCCGGCTTCGTTGCCCCAACACGCCTCGGGTGCGGCGGGCCGCGGCCGGCCCCCGACCATCACAGATGGGGTCGCAGACACCCCAGCCGGGGACGGGGATACGGGGGGAGGGGGGGGGGGGACACAGAACGGGGGTCGGCGATCATTTTCGGCCCCCTCGGCGCTGTGCAGTGGCAACATCCACTCAAAGCGCCTCCTCCCACACACGCCCACGCCCACATTGACATCCGCGCTTACACCTGCGCCCGCGCTTGCACACACACACACACATCCCCCCCCCCCCCCCCCCCCGCCCACACACGCACACACGCCCACACGCCTGCGCTTGCATCCGCACTTGCACCCGCACTTGCACCTGCTTCCGCCCGCCTTGCCTTCTC